GTGGTGGTGGTGGTGGTGGTGATGGTGGTGGTGGTGGTGGTGGTGGTGGTGGTGGTAGTAATAGTAGTAGTGGGCCCAATAGGGGGTAGGTGTTGTGGGGGGGGGTGTTGTGAGGGGGGCGCGATCCTCGTGAGGGGTGTGCCGAAATGGGAACAATCGCTGGGGCCTTCGGCGCAGCTCCCAGGTATGGGGAACCGATCCTCGTGAGGGGTGTGCCGAAATTGGCTGGGCCGCCGCGGCCTTTGGCGGAGCTCCCTGGGATGGTGATGGTGATGCTGATGATGGCTGATGCTGGTGCTGGTGCTGATGATGATGACGATGATGGTGATGATGTTAATGGTGACGATGGTGGTACGGAGCTGCTTCTGATGACGACGATGTTGATCGCACCGCGTCGACATGAGCCTATGGCCAAAGCAGAGTGGGGCATGAGACCCCACTCTTGGGCTGAGCGCACGTGCCCACAACCTAGAGCCCCAGGAGGACCCAGCCCCGCGGGGACCCCGACATCACCGCACGGCGGCAGCGGTCCCAGAACGCCATTCCTGGCAACCTGTGGCACCTGTGGGACCTGCAATGCTTGAAGGGGCAGTGAGACCTGGAAGACCTGCGACGCCCGTAGGACTAGAGGGGGCCCTGCTGCGTGCGGGGCCCGTGAGACCGGCGAGACCTGCGTGCCTTGTGCGGCCCGTCGAACCAACGTGCGGCCGACCGTCACGCCGTGTCTCTGCGCACGCGCCCCCTTACTCGTTCTACGCGTCTGTCAGCTACCTATGTGCGTGGTCACGCCTGCGCCGCGTTTCATGGACGACCATGCATCGGCGCTGCTCTGCAGGTGCGACTGCTGCCACCGCTCCTCCCGAGCCCTCAGTTCCCGTTACCCTCCTCCCCACTCACGCGAACTTTTTGGTGCACGCAAGCATCCAGCTTTTGCGCCGAAGATCGCCGAATACCGCCGAAGACCCTCAAAAGACGGCCGAAGGCCGCCAAGGACCGCTCGAGGCCGATGGGTAACAAGGGGTTTGTGATCGAATGCTTGACATCCCTCGGTTCCCCTGCCCCGCCCCACCGCTCCTGCCCCCATTAGGGCGCCAGGGGCAACGTTAGGGGGGGGATAGGCTCAGGGGGGTATGCATCGACCCCACAACCGCGGACTTACAATCGGGGGCCTGTCGCCGATCTGTGGGCGATGTGTCGCCGATTCCAGGTCGACGTCTCCCCCTCCGAGCTGTTCTCCTGATGGTCTTCGCGTCATAACTCTGGCCTCCAGCGGCCGTTCGTCCTCGGCATCACCCAGACATGCTGATAGTAGAAGCGACTCGCCCCCCCCCACCCACCCACGGGGCGACGCGCGCGCGCTCAGAAATCTTCTAATACGTGCTCGGCGGCTGGCGTTTTCAGGTCATACGGCCCTGCCTGGGTAACGATGTGCTGTAAGATGTGTGTGCTGCATGCTCGTTTCGGACGTGCCCCGCGAAGGGGGGCGCACAGTACCAGTATGTCCTCTTGCGCCCCGCCCTCTGCCCTTGGCCCACCCCTTCCGTCAGCGCCCTGCTGAAGTGGCGGATGAAGATCGTCCGGGAGCGCGAGCGCGCGCAGCGGGCGGAGCAGAAGGCGCCGCGCGGGGCTGGCAGTGGGGCTTCGCGAGCGACGCACACACATCCGCAGCCGCGCCCTCGCGGTCGGAGTGCCGGGGCGCCGTCCCATGGACGTGCGGCCGCACGGGCACGTTCCCACGTTAGCAGTCCATGGGAGCCGTACGGGGTCATCGGGCGGGAGGGCTGGTGGGCTATCGTACTGTCTCCGCCTCCGCCCCCGTCTCCTCCTGTGCCTCCCCTCCCCTCCCCATTCGGGGCCCTCTCCGCTCCCACTCCGTCTCCTCCTCCAGCCCTCTCCCCTCCCCCCCCTCCAGCCCTCCAGCCCTCCAGCCCTTCCCTCATGGGAGCAATTCATGGTTCCTATGGTGTGTCATCGTAACTCCGTGTGCAGAGTAAATTAGCATCGGTTGGCGTCTGGTAATCGATGAGAAAGCGCCACTGTAGCTTCGATTTGTGCTGATTCAGCGTCGATTAGCGTCGATCAGCGTCAATTCACAAGTGCCAGCAAGATGTCGTGGGAGGCTGCCATGAGTTGTCGTCGAACGTATCCGCGCCCTCGCGGTCTGGATTCCGGGGCGCCATCCCTCGGATGCGCGGCCGCACGGGTACGTTCCGCGCGGGGCATCCGCGAACATTGCGCACATGTATTTGTGGGGCCCCGTGCGGCTCAGGGGCCTGGCACGCGAGGCTGCGGGTACGGGTATGTTTTTCGCCCACGAGGGCTGTGCCCGGCCGAGGCCATGGCGTGCCAATGCCCGGTTGAAACAAATAGGTGACGGATTGTTTTGAGGGCCTCCGATTTGAGCTGTCTTGGAGGGTTTTGGGGGGTCCGGGCAAAAGGCCGCCCTTTCATTGCTGCCCGGGTGGTTCTAAAGCTACCCGTCTGTGAGGGTTGTTACCCTTTTTCTTCCATTATGAAGCGTGGAGTACCCAGTCGACGGTCCTGCGCCTCCTCCCGCTGAGCGAGACAGTCACGACGGGGGTGTTTATCCAGCCTCCTGGGGCCCTCACCGGGACCAGGGACCAAACGACTCGGCATGAGCGTTGCGCCAACATCGCGGCGTCGGAGATATCTGAAGTTGCCCCTTCCCCAGCATTCGCACCATTGGTGCCACTGGGGCCCTCTTAGCCTCTTGCGGGGTGCTCTGGAGGCCATCTGAGCCTCCTAGGGAAACGTGGGGCAGTTTGTACCAGTCTGGCAACACCCGCCCCATGTGCCCGCGGTAAGCTCCGCCACCGTGCCAGGACAGCACTGTGTGTGGTGACCCCTCGAGAACTCTGTGACAGCTCTCGACAGGCCGAAGGTGGCCGTGACCTGTGATGCGCTGTTTTGCAGGCTCGAGGCGGCCGTGACTTTGTTAGGTTCTTCTCTAGGGAACACGTGTGACCGCTCTCGTCCCGCATCTCAGAGGGCCGCAGCACTTCACGACGCCGCGACACGTGACATTTGATCTCGCCACTGCCCAGAGACCCATATCAGGAGACACGGCGGGCTCTACACCCTAGGCGATGCTTAAGAAAACTTAAGTTTTCGGCCAGAGTCTCGATTATTCTTAATGTTTCAATGTAGATCCTAAGATTTGAATAGAGATTGTGGATTTTGATTCAAATTCTGAGACTATGAATTTCTTAACCCATGATTTCTAAAGCATTTCGCAGGGTGTAGCCTCCAATATCCCTGCCGGAAGGGTCCTAGGGTTTTTGTTGGGGGCATCTCGGGAGCCCGCCTGCGGATTTTGGGCCATCCTGGATGGTGTTGCGACCATCTGGGGAGCGCTTTGGAGCAGTTCGGGAGGGTCCCGTGACCGTCCAGCGGGCGGCTGGGTGCTACTTTGAGCTGGCCTTCCGTTGACGTGGGGCGGTCTTGCGGCACTCTTAGCCCCGTCCAATTTCTGGTCCCGACCTGGTCTTGTCCTTTTTAAGGCTCCTTCGGACCTCTAAGGCGCTTCCAGGGTCCTCTTGGGCGCCTCTTGGGGTCCTCCATGCTGTTAAGTCAGGTTTGAGGCCGTATTAGTACGCCATCTTCGCGGTCTTGTTATTTTGGAGGCACTTCTGAAGCCCTGTGAGGCGTCGGGGTTCCCAGGGAGCTTCGGAACAGTTGGTAATGTGGTTGCAGAAGTGGTGGTGCCCCCCAGAACGCTACAGCAGCCCAGCCAGGCAGCCTACTGTGACGCATTTCCTCCATGCTTCCTCTTCGGAGCGTGGCTGGACCTCTACGAGGAGACGGAGGAGGGGGGATGGCTGGAAGGGCGAAGGATGGTGAAGAGGAGGGAGACGGTGAGGATGAGGAGTGGGTCGAAGAGGGGTCACGGATGATAATTATTACGATAATGGTGATGGTGGTGGTGGAGACGATGACGATGACCATGATGACATTGTCGACGACGACGACGACGGTGGTGGTTTTGGTATTCACGATGCTGCTGCTGATGATGATGCTGATGATGATGATAGTGATGATGCTGCTGATGCTGATGCTGATGCTGATGCTGATGCTGCTGCTCATGATGATGGTGATGGTAATACTGTTGCTGCTGCTGATGATGCTGGTGATGATGGTGCTGCTGCTGCTGATGCTGCTGCTGCTGATGATGACGACCATGCTGACGATTATGTTGATTGTGCTGATGATGATGGTTATGATGATAATGCTGATGATGAGGATGCTGTTGCTGATGATGATGACGGTGCTGATTAACATGATGAGGATGATGGCACTGGTGACGTTGGCGATGCCGATGTGGTGATGTTGGTGATGCTGCTTCTAATGATCATGCCTGCATATGGTAATGCCGATGCGGATGGAGATGAGGAGGAAGACACGGATGCCAATGCCCAACACGAACGATGTGGCTGAGTATGCCGATATGAATTGTTACGCCAACCAGTCATTGGCAGCTGCTGCCGATCCTACTTGAAGGCTGAGGTGGGTTGAGGGAAGACTACATGATTATGGTGATGATGCTGAGGATAATGATGCTGATGATGACGATGCTGGTGCTGATGATAATGCTGCTACTGGCCATGATGCTGCTGCTGATGATGACGATGCTGCTGCTGATGATGATGCTGCCGATGATGATGCTGCTGCTGCTAATGATGATGGTGATGATGATGATGATGATGACGATAACACGGACGACCGTAATTATGGTGACGGTGGTGGTCTAACAGCGGCGACCCTGCTGTTGATACCGCTGCTGCTGCTGATGATGACGATGCAGATGGTGGTGGTGGTGGTGATTCTGCTGCTGCTGCTGATGATGCTGATGCTGGGTGATGATGAATTTGCTGATGCTGATGATGATGATGATGATGATGATGATGATGATGATGCTGCTGCTGATGATGATGATGATGATGATGATGATGATGATGCTGGTGATGGTGATGGTGATGGTGATGGTGATGGTGGTGGTGGTGGTGGTGATGGCGATGGTGTTGGTGAGGGCGACCAATATTTCGAGGCGAATCAAGTGGTGGCGACGAGGGCCTCCGAGGAAGCCCAAGAAGGGGAACCCGAGGGAAGAGTAGCGCTATGGGTACCTTCGTGGCCAGCCTGGGCTCGCTGGCGCGGCGGCTCCGTCGACAAGCCCCTCCGCGCCCCAGGGCTCCAGGCCCTTGGGCGCGGGCTGGCGAGACCGCCAGAGAGCGCGGCCGTCCTGCAGGGCCCCCAAGCGGAAGGGCGCCGGCGCAGCGTGCACGGCGAGCTTTTCTGAGGACGTCCGACCGACCGACCGGCCCCGAGACGTGTCCGCGCCGTGACAAAACGCGGGCCGGGAGGTTTTTCGTGGGTGTTCGGGACGGGGTCGTCTTAAGCAACGGCTAAGGATGAGAAGCTGGTCAAGGGGAAAGGGTCCGGACTTCCGGGGGCCGCGTGCTGAAACAATCAGGACGCTGCATGATGATCGTTTTCAGATTTATTGTTTTGATGATCGGCGCGGGCCCCCGCACACCCCCTCCTCTCATTGAGAGTGATGATGGCTGCTTCGGGCGCCTGCCTCAAGCAGGTGGAGTCTCCCCCATAGGACGTGTTGCAAACAGAGGTCTGGAGCCAGACCCCCTCTTTCCCCCCCTCCTTCCCGCCCAATGTCGGAACGCCAACTAGGAAAATGTTCACCGGGTCCCACCCCCATCCCTGTACCCTGCCTCCCTCCTCCTGCCTCCTGCCTCCCTCCTCTTGCCTCCCTCCTCCTCCTGCCTCCGCCCCCCGCTGCCTCCTTCCTGCCTCCTGCCTCCGCCCCCGAGGCCCTTGCGGGGATGGTCTGTGCTTTGGCCCGCGGCCCCAGAGGTCCCGACTACTTCAGCGGGGACGCTGCTTCGCCCCAGAGCCGCTTCTGATGGTCCCGGGTCGACTGGACATATAGTGGTCGCCCTTCGCCGGATTGACCTTTGGTGCGGGCCCATTGGGGCCCCCCGATCGCCAAACGCGATGTGATGGTACAGGAGCTCGACCACAAGAAACCTTCACAAGCAACCCAACCCTGAGACCCCAGGAAGTCCATTGATTTTTGGTGTGGGAACGTCACGCTTTCCATAGCAAAACCATCGAAACCCAAGAAACCCAAGGCACCCCGGAGGCAAGCAGGGTGTTTCTCGGCATGGGTTTCCACTGCAGCATCTTGCGCGGCTGTGCTTTGCCCCCCGCGGCCCCCGAGAGTCGCGCACCGAAGGTCACTCTAGCCTAATTGGGGTCACTCGTACGTGCAGCAGACCAGTAGGCCCGATCACGGGCCCGGGAGGCCAGAAACACGGACAACATGCTGGGACTGGAAAGATCAGTTCGGCAGAGGTTTGGGATCCAGATCAGGCAGGGACCAACCAAAAAAACACAGCATGTAGTGTCTACGCAGAACAACCGCCTATTTTTGATTATCGTTCTATCCTTCTTGGTTCTGTGTAGCTCCTCCCCGCTCCCCCTCTCCTCCCAGAGCGGCCCCCGTGCCGAAGCCTCCGTGGCGCGCGCGGCGGGGGCCAGCGCGGACGGGGGGCCCGCCGAGCCCCGCTGGCGGAACCCAGCTGGGGGGGCCGTCGGTGCGCGACGACGCCCTGGCCGACCTGGGTCTGCGCTGGCCCCGGGGAGGTGTCGGAGGCTGATAGACCTCCTGCCCCGACGCGTCGAGGAGGGAATTGGCCGCTCTCTGCTCGCGAGGGGGCGTCGCGGCCGTCGCTTTCGCGGGTCCAGGTCCGTCGGCTTCGGCCCCGGGCCGTTTTCTCTGAGGGGAGGTTTATCGCGGGCGATGTTTCTCCCCCAATCCCAGAGTTTCGCCCGAAAAGTCTGGCCGCTCAGAAGAATGGGAAAACCCTGGGATACACCCCAAGGGGGCTATTCGGACGCACCCCTATCGAGAATGGACACCCCCCCATCGTATATCCCAGGGTTAGGCCCCAAATTTCTGGTCCATTCGGAACCCCCACGAAGCCTGGGATAGGGGTCGACATATCCCCTGTTAGTTTATGAAAGGGAGGTTCGTCCACCGCCGAAAAAGTGCGTCTCCGAAGCCCCGCGGCCGCGGCCGCGCCCCCGCGGCGGCGGGCAGGCGAAGGACAAGCAGGCCCTCGCCGTGAGGAGCTCGGGCGCTCCGGCGGCTGCCGGAGGGCCCGCGCCGGCAGAGGCGGCGCCCCCCTGCCCCCCCGCCCCCCTTCCCTTATGTCGGGCCTGTCCCCCTACAGGGGGATTTTCGACGAAAATTTAGCAATAGTCAAAACATACCCCCAAGTGGTAAACAAATGCTCCACAAAGTATGTCCCCAGATTTTTTTAAAACAATGATGTTTGGGGTACTTTTTTTATCTTTCGCCGAACATCCCCCTGTAGGGGGACAGGCCCGACTGAACCCTTCTCCCCTCGGGCAACGTCAGCAGGAGGCCCCTCCGCAGGCCCTCCCTCGCTCTGCGAGAAAAAAGAACAACGGCGGGAGGCGGTTCGCGGTGTGTTCGGCCTCCGGGGGCCCTGGCCAGGCCTCGGGGCCGTCCACAAGACGATGCAGGCTGCCTCGGGGCCGCGAAACAGCGATTCAGGATGAAAAACCCTGTCCCGGGGAAAGGGTCCAGAACTTTGGTAGGGGGCCACATGCGAGCCCTACCCCTACCCCCCACGATTTCTGAGGGGGAGGGTGGGGTTCACTTCGCTCGGCAGAGCCCGAATGAAGTGAACCCTACCCCCCCCCCTCAGAAATCGTGGGGGGTAGGGGTAGGGCTCGCATGTGGCCCCCTACTTGGGGGTCGACGTTGTGAAACAATCACGACGTCGGGGGTCTGGGTCCCCAGGCCTCCCCCCCACCCCCCCCTTCGGTCGGGGACAGCGTGAGTCTCGAGCACGCCCGGCCTCGGGCTCGCCGATGCTTTTTGGCGGGCCCGCCCCGAGTTGTGACGGTGCAGCTTTCCTGGGGGTCTGCAGCGGGAGCTCGCGTGAAGTTTCAGATGGGGCCTCGTCATTCTCCCGACGATCCCTTCGGGTCAGCCTGGACCCCCCCCGCACCCGAGCCGCACGTCTTCCCTGGGCGATGTCAGCAGGGGCAGCGCCAGCCGGGGCATCGGGCTCCGAGGGGGAAAGCCGGAGGCTACACGCCTTCGAGGGTCGAGCTTCGAGTCTCTCAGACGCTGCGCTCTGGCCGAGGGCGCCCGGGGGCTGCCGGGATCGTCATTGAACGGCCGGCCGCCAGAGAGCCCAGTGATGGCCCGAGAGCCAGGGGGCCCCGCCCCGGGGCGGACGGGCTCGGGGGGGGACGCACCGACCGCCACAGGCCCGTGGAGCGCCCGCAGGGGCCCAGGGGCCCTCCCCGCCCAGGAGCGTGCGGATTTTTGCAATCGGGTGCGTGTCGCCGCCAGGGGGGGCAGGCCCCGGCAGACGTGGGCGACAGAATTGTCCAAGCACGCCGTGCCAGTGTGTCTCGATTCTGGTGGGGACTCTGCACATCTGGGCACGTTTCCGGCGGAAGCCTGGGAAGAAGCAGTGCGCAAGTATACTATCTAGCGCACACTCGTGCCATTGCTCATGTGCCAACGGGCATGCGGCCTCATTCATCCTGCGTGTCGCGGATCTATCGGCGATGCGCGCCCTCTTTGCAGCCGTCTTTTTGGCCTTCGGCTGAGGCGGAGGCATTTTTTCAGAATGTTCGCACCCTCTGCCTTCCCGCATGGGCTCGCCACCATTCCTCCTCCTCCTCCTCCTCCTCCTCCTCCTCCTCCTTCTCCTCCTCCACCTCCCCCTCCCATCCTCCCTCTCCTCCCCCTCCCCCTCGTCACCCTCACCCCTCCCCCTCCCCCCTCTCCCCTCTCCCCCCTCCCCCTCCCCCTCCCCCCCCCTCCTCCCCCCTCCCCCTCCTCCTCCCCCCTCCCCTCCTCCCCCTCCTCTCTCCTCCCCCTCCCCCCCCCTCCTCCCTCCTCCTCCCCTCCTCCTCCCCCTCCTCCTCCTCCTCCTCCTCTCTCCGCCTCCCTTCCTCCTCCTCCTCCGCCTCCTCCTCCTCCTCCTCCCCCCTCCCCCTCCCGCCTCCCCCTCCCCCTCCCCCGCCCCTCCTCCTCGGCGCCAGCTCGGCTCTGGCCGTCGCCTGGGCGGGGTCGGCGAGCCCGCGCCAGGCGACCCCCGGGCCGCTGCCCTCTCCGCCCTCTCCGCCCGTCCGCTCTCCTGCTGGCGCCGCCGCGGTGCCCGGCGGCGGGGCGCCTCCGCAGCGCCCGCGCGCGCACGGCCGCCCCGAGCGGCGTGCCCGGCGGCGGGCCGCGCGCGGGCTCGGGTCGTTCGGGCCCTGCTTGCGCGCCCTCGGCGGCGTGGGAGCACCGCGCCCCGGGGGCCGCCCTCCGGGGCGCGCCCTTCGTGGCGCAGAGCGGCGACGGGAGCGGAGCACGTGCCGATGCAGCGGGCCGCAGGGCCGTGGCGGAGGAGATGGAGGTTCGTGGTTCACCGTGGCGTGCACGAGGGCGCGCACCCAGGAGCCTGAGCCGAGGCCGAGGTGGGAGGCACTGCAATCGCCAGCCCGTCCGGGATGGAAGCCCGTGCAGCGGAGCTGTCAGCTGAGAAGTTCGCCGCCGCAGAGGCCGCGATGGCAGCTGCGCAGGTGACGGCGCCCATACCCCTCGGCAGCACGGCGAGGGAGTTCGTCCCGTTCAGCCCGCCGCTGCAGGAGTCGATGGCCGACGACGGGGGGTCGCCGCAGCTGCGGCGCCTTGGGAGAGGAGCGAAACCCGCGCACGGCTGCTTCGGGATGCTGACCTCCTTCGAGGCGCTGGAGCACAGAGAGGCGCCGTGCTGACTGGCCCACAGATCAACTGGGCAGCCATAGTCGACAGCGGGGCGCCCCCGAGTGCATCGTCCGCATCGCCGCCCACAGGTGAGCGTCTGCAGGCGTGAAGGGTAGCCCCGCGGCGTTCGGGTTCGGCTCGAATTGCTGGCGGTGGGTCTGGGGCCGTCTCGTCTGTGGCTCGCGGGGTGTCTCGGGGGGTGCTGGGCCTTGTTGGGTCTTCTGTCCCCGCGGGCTCTGGGTCTGTTCTCGGGCTTCTCGTCGGGCTGCGGGGTGGGCGCGTTGAACAGAGCAGCCGGATGGAAAGTTTGTGCACCAGAGGGCTTTTCATTCCCACATGCTGTTTGTATTGTGTTTGTTGGATCGCGCAATTCGATCCAGTGGATGCTGCTTCGCAACGGTTCCGGTTCCGATTCCTCTCCTGCCCTCCTCCTCCTCCTCCTCCCTCTCCTCCCCCTCCCTATCTTCTCTCTTCCCCTCCTCCTCCCTCTTCCCCTCCCCCTCCCCCTCCTCCCTCTCCTCCCCTTCCCCCTCCTCCCCCTCCTCCTCTCTTCCTCATCCTCCTCTTTCTCCTCCTTCCCCTCCACTTCCTCCTCCTCCTCCTCCTCCTCCTCCTCCTCCTCCTCCCCCGCCTCCTCCTCGTCCTCCTCTTCCTCCTCCTCCTCCTCCTCCTCGCGCGCGGCTTCTGCCTTTGTCTTAGTCTCTATATATCTGTCGATCGTTCTTTCTCTATCTCAATCTACACTCAACCAGCATAGTAAGGATAAGCGAGTTTTCCAAGAGTCCTTTGCTTCCTTGCCACTTAGGCCCATCCCTGGCAATTTTAGCTGGCCCAGCCCCACTCGAAAAATGCCAACATGGCTTTCCAAGGCCCTTGCGTCCTTACCGCGCATCCTTTCTATACGGGTTGACTGGATATCCATCTCTATATTTCTGGATCTCCCAGTCGGTGTTTTCAACCAAGCCGAAATGCGCAAGCAGACTGGGCTCCGTCATTGGGCACGCGGCGGCGTTTCTCGGGCCCCTCATGTGGCCTTGCTCGGACCCCAGTGCTACATGCCAGCGCCATGCGCGGCGAGCAACCGCGATGACGAACGCACCCCATGGGGCCGCCAGAATCTTCCATAACAGCGTTTCGCTGGAGGCTTATTGACATGACTGCATCAGAGTCCCACAGGGGGGGGGGGGGGCGGGGAGTCCTGAGGACGATCTCTTCGGCAGCCGCCTCGCCCAAGACACCCCCGCAATTCATTCCGCAGTCTCGCTCTCGCTTCTATGCCGGCTGCATTTTTGGTGTGGACGGTCACGATCATTCGGGGGTGGATAGACCTCCTACTTTGACACGTCGATTAGCGAATTGGCCGTTTTCGGTTCGCGACAGGCAGTCACGACCGTCGTTTTTGTTGCGGGCCCAGGTCCGTCGGTTTCGGTCCTAGGCCGTTTTCACGAAGGAGAGGTGTGCTACAGGGAGGTGTGTCCACCGCCGAATCATTGGCAGCAAATGCGCTGAAGGTGCGCATGGCCGTGCTCTTGTCGCCCCTGTCCCTTCCTAGCCGACCCACTCCTCGACCCGCCTCTTCGCCTTCCCCGTCGCTGTGCTCTGGCTGGGGCAATCGCCTTCTGAGCCTCCGCGGCGCCTCCCTCGAGCCAGGCGCCGCCGCCGTCGCCGCCGCCGTCGCCGCCGCCGTCGCCGCCGCCGCGGCTGTCGCCGTCGCTGGCGTTGTCGCCGCCGCCGCCCTCGCCGCCGCCGCCGCCGCCGCGCCCTGCCTCCCTCGACCTGCCCCCACGCCGAGGCCGCCGCCTCCGCCCCATGCAAGGCCGCCGCCGCGGCGGCCGCGGCAGGCGCGCCGCCGCGCTCTTGGAGAGCTGCGCGTCCGCGCATCTCGCGCCTCCCTGACGCTTCGAGGTTCGAGGCTCGG